CACACTATATATATAGTGTGTGTGTATATATATATATATATATATATATAATATATTCGCCTGGCCACGCTCCTGCAGCCCCGCGCCGCCACGTGCGGGAAGGGGGCGGAGCCTCCGCCTGGCCACGCCCCCTCCCCACCAGACCACGCCCCTTCCCCGCCTGGCCCCGCCCCCTCCCCGCCGCCGCCGGGGCCGCTCCTGCGCAGTCAGGCGGGCGGGGGGCGGCGGGAGTCCCCATGCCGCGGGGCAGGGCGGCCGCCTCCGCGGGCAGCCGCGATGATCCCTTACTTCTCCGACAACGCCGTGATCTCTCAGGGCACCATCGCCCAGCTGTGAGTAACCGGGAGAAACAAAAAAACCGGGCAACCGAGCGGCGCGGAACCTCCGCGGCTGCTCCTCCGCCCGCGGGGTCCCTCCGTCCCACGGGTCTCCGTTCCCCACGGGTGGCCGTCGGGGGTGCTCTTTCCCCCGCTCTCGGTAGTCGGTTCCGCCGTATTTTGCCTCCGGGCAAACTTTGCGCCTCCCAACCGGGAGGCGGCCGGTTGGCAACGGGGCTGCGGGAGGCACCGGCGCCTCGGGCTTGATTTCGCCTTTATTTTTTCCCCAGCAAAAACTCCGGGTCTATCTACCGGAGTCAAAGCTTTTCCGTGAGTGTAAAAAGCCACGGGGAAATGCGGGGCCGCTGCTCGGAACCGCCGCTTCTCCCCGTCCGGTGCCCGGTGCGGGGCGGTGCGGGTGCGGAGCAGGGGACGCGGGGCCAGGCTGTGCCTCGGTACCGAGGTGCGGGGTTCCTGGGACCGTGTACCTTGGTCCTCTCTGGGGTTTAAAGCAGAGATTAACACCCCCCCCCCCTTTTCCCCCCCCATTTGGTCTCTTGTTCTTCCTTATGGCGAGGTTGCGGGTGGGGGTGCGGGTGCGGGTTTTGGGGGCTTTTCTCCGGTCGGTTCAAGAAGAGCGGGGCTGAGACCTTACACCCGAGACCTTACACCCGGGACCTGCAGGGTCATGAGGGACAGACGGGAGCCCATGCCAAATTTTTTATAAGTCCTGTCACTCTGGGGCAGCAGCCTGAGCCTCTCTCTCTGCCCCTTCCTAAGCCTCTTGAAAAAAAAAAAAAACCCCAAAAAATCAGTCTCTCCAGCTGCACGCCCCCCTTTGAAATGCAGATACAAATAATCATTTAATTTGTAGATAATTAACAGTGACTGCCTGGGTAGTGGGGTTTGGCTGGAAGGATTAAGGAGGGAAGTGGCTGCTACGAGGCGGTAGATAAGGCTTTTAGAGAATGGTCGCTGGGGTCTAGTTGTGCTTGGTAATTCTTTAAAGACACCAACGGCTGTTTTATCTCTTGGAAACATCGTGAAAGGCTTAAAGATAGGAGGATAAAATGCTGGGTCCCACCTGGAACTGTGTTTTGGTCGCAAGAAGCTCCTGCTAGAAATTGAGCTGCCTTGAGTAGACATTCCTACTTATGCTTGGTATGGAAATAAGTCCCTGGACTCTGTGGCCTCTTTTTTTTTTGAGCATTAGCAATCACTGCTGTAGTTGGCAATCAGTTTAGCTAAGTCTCTCTGAGCCTTTCATACTCTACCCAAAATGCTTGTAATTAGGCTTTTTTTTTGTTGTTTTTTTTCCCCACTTGCAGTGTTGCCTGTAAACACCACGGCTTTCCCCGTGGTTGCTCATGGTGTTGGTTTAACAGTGATACACCTCACCTGTTCCGTGGAAGCAGGGATGTGAACTGGATGTGCCCTGGGCTTGGGGAAGTAGCAATAATTCTGGAATTGTGGAAAAAAAAACCAAACAAAAAACAAAAACCAAACCCAACCAAAAATAAAATAATAATAAAAAAACCAACACAAAACCCCAAACCAAAACAACAAACCCCAACCTTCTATAGGCTGAAGCATTTCCTTACAGCTCAAGGTGAGGTTTTTTTTACTAAGCTATATTAGGTAGCTAGGTAACAATTTAAGTGCTTTTAAAATGTTTGTTTTATACGTGGCTCTAAAACACTTAACCCCCAGTTTGAGACTACGGAAAGAGATCAAAAAAAAAAAGAGGAAATGCTGCTCCTCTCCGCTCCCTCGGTGGCTGGTAGCCCTGCAGCCTTGTATCTAGTAGTAGTTTAAATTGCCACTTGGTTGGAAGAACCACCCTTTCCTTTTCTGGAGAGAGAGATAACTGAGTTATCAGAGGAGCTTACGCCGGCCTGTGCCTCCTGGAAGGAAAGATTAATAAGCATGAGAATGACAGAGCTTTTGGCCCACGCACGGGTGTTCGCACGAGGCTGGGCGCCGCGTTGGTACTTTGATCACAGTCTCAATCAGGACACTGCTGTGGCTTTCAGGCTGGCATCATAAAGACCTGTTTTACTCTTTATAGTCCTAATTAAAAGTTCATAAAGGCTGATTAATTTTGGATGTCCTTATTTCATCCTGGGCAAGACCTAAAAATCCAGATATTTTTTTTTTATTTATTTATTTTCTGTGCCAAAAATGTGTTCTCTGTGGAATGGGAAGGGCAGTAGTGACCCAAGCTTTATCAGAAACTTCTGTTTCAGTGTATTCTTTAGTAGATGTATTTGGCTAATCAGCTCTGACTTTCAGGGATCAGCAGAAATTACTCTTGTGTTGACGCTTTTAGTCAGTAATGTAGTCAGCTGCTCTGGGTCTAATTCATTTCAGGTTCACAAGGATTCAAATCGGTGTCCGAGAGACTTGTGTTTATCAAAATGCTCAGAATTTAGAGCTGTAACTCATTCCAGAAAGTCTTGCTACTCTCATTGAACCTAGTGGGAATTCTGCTGATTTACTAGTTTATTTGTGTGTCGGATTCAAAATTTACTTTGGTCTACTAAAACTCTAAGGCAGCTGATGAAAAGATAGGGAGAAAAAAGCAAAACTTCAGACAATTTGCAAACGCTGAAGAATTTTTTTAGCAGAAGAAACCTGGATAAATTGCCATGGATCTGTGCTTCCTGCCTGCGGTCGCTTCCTCTGCCTCCGGCCAAGTTTTAGGTATCTCATTCATTGTCGGTGCCCCTGAAGTGTTTTTTCCGTGTCCCTGTGATAATGCCAGATTCCTCTGTCACTCAGTTTTTATCTCGGTAGCAGAGCAGGATTATCCAGGGATCGGGGCGTGCACTTGGGATTTGGGAAGACCCGGCTCTTGCTCCCTGCTGTGCCACATCCTTCCTCTGCCACCGTGGCCAAATCCCACCAGGCCAGAAGATACAGATGGACGCTTGGCCTTTCTCTTGAATCTGAGAATTGACCACCTGGCTTTGATGCCTGCACCCCCCTGGAATTTTTGTCCTTTTTTTTTTGAGCTTTTAAATACTTTTGTCTTTTCTTTTCCACAAAGCAGCAGCGAGAGCCCTCCCTGGGCTCACGTTGAGCACGTGTTGAAGCGCTCGGGTACTGTTTACTACTTCATCCTCCAACACTCCGGGTGCCAGATGGATCTGAAAACATGAATATGCTTTGCTACTTTCCACGGTTCTCATACTTGCTTCATACCAGGCTGTTTTCTATTATAGGATGTTAACCGATAGTTTTTATAAGCATTTTAAACTTTGTGGGGGAAAAAAAAAAAAAGGAGAAGGAGCTGGAATAGCTCGTTTCTTTGCAGTGTTGTGGGTATATCTTGGAGCTCTTAAAAAAGAAAAAGACAGACGTAAAACCTGCAAGTTAAACAGAATTATTTCCAGTGAAAGGTTAAAGGTAGCCACAAAATGTTCTTCCAGACTTGGCTTCACAGCCTATTGCTCTCTCGTGTTATCAGTTTTCTCGTAAGTGACAACCCTCCTTCGCCGTGGTGTGAAGGAACAGCACTCCGCAGTGTAAGAGGAAGTTACGGGCTCTGTAGGTAATTACAAACTGGATGTTAAATTACACCACCAGGTAATTTGGGCTTATTGTATTGCCTCCTCCTTGCTGCAACCTGTCTTTGTGCCCAGCCTGCCTTGGCCCTTGTCCTCCCCCACCCCTTTCATTTACCTTCGTCATGCGGCCCTGGCCTTTATGCGATGAAATTTCATGACCATCTAATTTAAAATCATGCCAAGTGCTAAGTCAGGAAGGTAGGTAAGTGTGCGGCTGCTGTTGCCATTGTTTGGAGAGTGGCTTATTTATTTATTTATTGTATGGGAAACCTTACAACCTTTTTTTTTGTCTGCTCACGACGTTATTGCTGCCAAAAAACCTTGACCGTCTAGCAATTAAACCTCAATCCTTCAAGCAGCGTCTTACTGGAAATCTTTAATTGCCTCCGTGCCATTGTGAGTGCTGTACCTTTGTGAATATTGTACCATTGTGCTGAGAGTGGATGGTATTTTAAGAGCTGAGGAGGAGAAGCTTGGAAACAGCTGCTCCAAAGAGTGGGAGATCAGCAGAGTGATTTCCAGTTGCCTCGCCAGCTGAGGGTCACTCTGGTTGGAGGTCCTTGAAAATATGGGAACAAGCTGATGAGCTCTTCATCTCTTGGAGGGGCTGGTACGGCTGCTGCTTTCCAGTTGAGTGTGTATTGTGTGCTCAGGGTTTGGATGACTGCAGAAGACAGCCTCCTCCTCCTCCTCCTCCATCACGGAGGCAGGAGAACCTGACCCCGTACCCCTCCTGCCCACCCCTTCGTGTAGCTCAGCCCCCCCCAGCACGGTGGATGGGCTTCCTTCCTGTTGACCGAGAGGAGTCATCAGGGATTTCTCATCTTTTTGTATTTTTTTGCTGATTGCAATAACGCAAACGCAATGCGTAAAAGGGCTCTTACTCCCCACCGATTATTAAAAAACCCATGGAAATAAGTTGTGGTAATTGGGTAAAAGTAGTATGCTCCGTGCTCCAAAGTTGATCATTAACTAAGCCAGGGCTCTATTGTTCATAACTACTTTTCCTGTTTGGCTTTTCCTTTTATTCCCCTGGAAGCCATGGGTATTTGTCTCACCGATCCTTCCTGGTAGGGGGTTGGAAAAGAGACAGAGATGGTTATCGGACGTGAAAATCAAAACTTGAGCAGCAAACCAGTGTTTCAAGGACAAACCCCCCCACACCGCCACCCGCTTTTAAGCAATAATGTTTTAGTTTGGGAGCTGCTGGGCTGCCAAGTTTGTGTTTTAAAAGGCTGCGAGTGGTAGAGTTGCCTCTTGGATTCTGTCTTTCCTTGAAACTCCTGCAGATGTTCACGTCTACTGGAAATGCTTGGGATTTTTCTAAAGTCTACAAAGCAGAAGGACCTGAGTGAGATTATCAGCAGAAAAGGACCTTTTGGGGCCAGTGAACAGGCTGGCTGGGATTTTTTTGTACTTCCTTGTACCTTTATCACAGAGCCCCCG